TGCAGGCACAGGGCTGTCACACTGGGGAGAGAGGGGCCACACTTCTGCCCCGAAAGTGCACGAAAGGCCAGCTGCCCTAAGCCCCGCCCCTTCTGCCTGAGGCTCCACCCCTTCTGCCTGAGGCTCCACCCCTTCTTCCTGTGGCTCCTCCCCATTCCAGGGGCCTGGAGTGGCTGCTGGCTCCCCTGGCTGTTGAGCTGGGTGTGGGGATGGCTGAGTGGTGGCCTGGGATTTATACAAGAGGTCAGACAAGGTGCTCAGGTCAGGTCCCTTCTGGCCTGAAGCTCCAGGACTCTGGCTGTTGTGGAGCCCAGCAATGCGAGGATCCGAGCTCTTGCGATGGACACGACACGCTCTCTCCTTCCCCGCATCCCGGCACGTTAGCCCAGCCGCGGACAGAGCGCAAGCAAAGAGCAGGGAGCCGCACAGCTTGAAGGGGTGCAAAGGGCAGTCTAGGACAGCTTAGTGCGGCTTCCAACGGCTCAGCCAAGGAAGCTGCCGCGTCGGCTCACCGGGTAGACCCCAAGTGTCCCTCTGTGTGCTGGCCTCTGCAGTTCACAGACATGCCCGCCCATGCTGTAGAATGGCCATTTTAGGGCCAGGCCTCCAAACAACAGACTCAGGCCACGTAAAAACATCGTGACTCATTTCCGAGAGCCCAAACTGCAGCCCTTTCCAGGGGCCCTATTGTCAGAGCGCCGGCGCTCGGCACTTTCCAACACACCCTTCCCTGTGTCTCAGGCTGGCTGCCCGAAATCACCATCCACCCCCGCAACTTTTGGCTGTGGGGCCGTGTTCCCAGCCCGTGCCAGGGTGTCCGGGAATCACGTGCGGGCGTTTTCTCTGCGGCGGACTGGCCTTGGCTAGGACTGGGAGATCCGATCTAAAGGGCATTGCGTCTATTGTTCTTGCCAAATGACTGATAGTTTGATTTCTCCGCAGGGGAACATAGGGTTGTCCGGCAAACCTGGCCAAATGGTGAGTGAGCACAGCCAAGCAAACTCACCGCTGCGGCGTGTACCCCCCAAGTAGACTGCGCTCAGTTGGGACTGGCAGTGGAAAAGGGGATGCTGTGACAGTCCCACTAGTCACGGGAGGCTGCCAGGACTGGAGGGACTTTGAGGCAAATGGAGGCTCAGCCGGCATTTCCATGCGGCAAAGCAGGGGCCCTGCACATTGCAAAACAGGCTGAAGCTGCCTCTTTGCTCTCTCGTCTTGTCTAACCCCAACATGGCCGTAGGAGAGTGTATAGGCCGGTGGATAAGGGCCTGGAAAATAACCTAGGCACAGCATTTGGCCCAGGTTCAGCACTGAGTCACACTGATTTGGGTGGGAGGTAGCCACTTAAGTCCTCTGTCAGTCGGGGCCCTGCTTAACTTATCTCCCGGGACGGACCTAGACTTTGCTGAAGAAGGATGTTGTTTTGGGAGACTGTTCCTCCCCCAAACGTGGCACGACCACCGTAGGCTGCGTTGGGGCAGGGGTGCTCGGGGGAGGGCGCCCCTACGTGCTTGGGGGGATGTAGGCCAGAACTGCGAAGAAGGCTCACAAGGGTGAGGACACTCAATGTGGTGGAGAAGTGGGGGAGCCAGCGGTGGAGGGTGTTGGGGTGAGGAAGGGCATTGTTAGCGCTGCGGAGAGCTGTTACAGCTGCTCTGATGCCAGCTGCCCTCGCCCAGAGTGCACGGCACTGATTCAAGGCTACAGGTTCGGTTCTGTGGCAAAAGCCCGGCCAAGTGCCTATCCCTGCCTCCGTGGATACAGGTACATTCGCTCACATATGCCTGTGACAATGGGCCCAGCTCTGTCAGGACACCAGGGGCCTGCCACCTCAGCGAGCACAACTGCCCGTCCTGTAACTTCCCCTTGGATGTTGTTCGCTAGCACCTTTCTCCTGGCACCTGCCAGTTTGAGCCAAATCTCCTCGTTACCCTGCCATTCCCTCCTCCTCTTCTGAGGGGCTGACGTGTTCTTGTCCTGTCCCTGCAGAATGTGCCCACACAGTTGCCGTGTGTTTCTGTGGAGGCCTTTCCAGTCAGCAGTGTGCTAACTTACTTCACACCTGGGGCCAGCGCCGGGCCTAGTCCAGTTCACAGCCTTTGGTTCATCCTATTAAAAATGCATCGGGCTGCAGCACGGCCTGCCACGGTGTCAGAGGGGTGGGCAGTGGAAGAACGAATGTAGAATTCCTCTTTTACAAACCTTATGCGGGGGAAATATTTCCATGCCGAATAGCACGAGCTGGGCTCGTTGCACATCCCTTGGCAGAGCTGCCTTAGGAGTGAGAGACATCCTAGACCAGCGGTTTTCAAACTTTTTCCCCATGACCCAGTTGAAGGAAATGGTTAATGCCCCCAACCCAACAGAATTTGACTAGTGTGTGGGCTCTGGGGTGGGGCTGAGGATGAGAGCGTGAGAATCCCAGGGCTGGAAGAGACCTCAGGAGTCATCCAGTCCAGCCCCCTGCCCAAAGCAGGACCAACCCCAACTCAATAGTCCCAGCCAGGGCTTGGTCAAGCCGGGACTTGAAAACCTCTAGGGATGGAGATTCCACCCCCTCCCTAGAGAACCCTCCCAGTGCTTCGGGAAATGGGGTTGGGGGGTAGGAGGGGGCTCTGGCTTTGGGGGGGGGGGTCAGGTCTGGGGCAGGAGGGGGTTGCCTTGAGCGAGGGGTTTACCTTGAGCAGCTCCCAGTCAGCGGTGCGCTACTGGCCACTTCTGAAGCGCTGCACAGTCTGTGGTGCCAGGACTTGAAAGAAGTCTGCCTTGCCACCCCCTCTGGTCACCCTGCAGCAATGAGATGCAGCATCTGGCATTCCACAACCCAGTACTCCAACTGCGGCTCTCCCGCCCTGAAAGTGCGGCTCGCAAAGTGCTTGTGAAGCCGCTCCTGTGCCCCTGAAAACGGCTCCTGGCTCCCTGTGCGCACTGGCTCTCTGTGCCATCTGGCACGGCCATTCAAAATGACAGAGCCTGATGTGGTGTGGCCAAAAAGCCTTTAATCACATTTCTTCAAGGGGCAGTTCCTTTTTTTTTTTTTTTTCCTGTTCGACAAATTTTCCTCCCTGGCTTTTTGCGCTATATGCACAACTATTTTGGCTCTTTGCCTGTAACGGTTTAGCCACCCCTGCAGTACTGGTTCACAACCCCTGGCCTGCAAGCCACTGGCCTAGAGCACAGGGATATGCAATACAGGTGAAGAAAGCAACTGTTGTGTTCATTGTTTTCTCCAGGGGGAAATGGGTCCGAAGGGAGAGAAGGGTGAACCAGGAATACCTGGGAAACCAGGAGAGACTGGACTAAGAGGTAAAGATGTAAGTAGAAGCGAACGGTCCTGTAAGACCAGTTACATCAGTACGGCTTGCAGGACTGCACCTCTTTCTGAAACCCGAGAAGGAAAAAGAGGATTCTAAATGCAAAAGGGTCCCTTTTACCATCTGGAAGGAACTGGTGGGTGTCAGTCTAGTTTGGGGCCCCGGGAGATGGGAGCCTGCTATTGTTAGGTGACCTGGCTCAGTCGGTGAGCTGTGGAGATGGTGTGAAATGAAGCAATGAGGGTGTGTTCCGGACATTCCAGACCTTGTCTCCGGCTCTTTCACGGCAGCAGTGCCCTGCCTGTAGTATGTGTGTGGCGACGCCTGGCCGACGTGTCACCAAGTTACCACAATTTGCCGCCGCCCCAAGGCATGGGATCAAGATGCACCCGTGGGAGGCCATTTTCGGGTACCTGGGATATTTTGCGGGACATGGGGTTGCTCCCTTGGAGCTGAGGCAGGCAGCCACTCGAGAGTGTTTTGTGACAAGCCTCCGATACGACTCTCCTTTGGGTCAAGGAGTTTGCCCGTTCAAGAGCCTTTCCGTCATTGGAGTCCCAATCACATTGTGCTGCAGCCGAGTAAAGCCCACGCACCCCTGGACGCTGCTGATCCACGAAGGAAAGGGGTCAAGGGAAAAGCCCTGATCCTTATCTCAGGTTACACTAGTGCAGCCGTCCTTATCATAGAATCATAGAATCATAGGACTGGAAGGGACCTCGAGAGGTCATCGAGTCCAGCCCCCCCGCCCTCAAGGCAGGATCAAGCTCCGTCTACACCATCCCTGACAGATGTCTATCTAACCTGTTCTTAAATATCTCCAGAGAGGGAGATTCCACCACCTCCCCTGGCAATTTATTCCAATATTTGACCACCCTGACAGTTAGGAATTTTTTCCTAATGTCCAATCTAAACCTCCCCTGCTGCACTTTAAGCCCATTACTCCTTGTCCTGTCCTCAGAACCCAAGAGGAACAAATTTTCTCCTTCCTCCTTGTGACACCCTTTTAGATATTTGAAACCCGCTATCATGTCCCCCCTTAATCTTCTTTTTTCCAAACTAACCAAGCCCAGTTCATGAAGCCTGGCTTCATAGGTCATGTTCTCTAAACCTTTAATCATTCTTGTCGCTCTTCTCTGTACCCTTTCCAATTTCTCCACATCTTTCTTAAACCAGGGGAGGGGAACCTCAGGCCCAGGGGTCGGATGTGGCCCCTGGCTTGCCTGGATCCGGGCCCCAAGGCTCACCAGCCAGCAGCCTGCAGGGCTGGAGCACACAAAATCTACCGGCCTGGGCCCCTCTAGTCTCTGGTGTGCGAGGGGAATGGGGGGTCTTTCTCCTTTTCACTTGTGTGCGGCCCCCGACTTATTCTTCCGTGGGTCAGTGGCCCCCTGACCCAAAAAAGGTTCCCCGCCCCCTGGCTTAAACTGTGGGTCAGGACTAGGGATGTAAAATCCCATGTAATCAGCTAACCAGTTGAACATTATGTTTCACCAGTTAATTGCCTGAACAAGGGTGGGTGGGGTGGGGCTGCTCTAGCCTAGCTGGGCAAGCGGTTCACTGGTTAACCATTGACATCCCTAGTTGGGACCATGTTGGGATTGCCTTAGATTTGCTGGGGTTCTGGCCCACGGCCAAAACCTGAGCATCCCTCCCGACCTTGGGATTATGTCTACACTACAGGGTTTTTGCACAAAAACCCACTGAGCGTCCACACCTCAAGCGCATTTTTGTGCAAGTAGATTTACAGTAAATCAAAAGAACAGAGGGGTTTTGCAGTGGAGGTACTCCTCTTTCTACGAGGAATAATTCCTGTTTGTGCAAGAGCTCTTGCGCAAAAGGGTGCGTGTGTGTGGACGGGCAACAGGGGTTTTTGCGCAAAAAGAGCCAATTGAAAAAAGCACAGGCGATCTAGCAAGTAGATTTACAGTGGCAATCAGAGCTTTCTTTCGAGAGAGCGTCCATGCAGTCTGGACCTCTCTTGTGCAAAAGCCCATCGCTTTTGCTATGCGCTTTGGCAGTGTGGACGCCCTCTTGCGCAAGACGTTTTTGCTGAAGATCTCTTCCATAAAAAGCTTCTTGCGCAAGAAGCCCGCAGTGTAGATGTAGCCTGTGGGAAGAAACCCTTAGGCTTTGCCTTTGCCCTCCCTGCCCTGGGGTCATTAATAATTCTTGTTGGCAGACGGGTGCAATGAAGTTTGAGTAATATAGCCTCACTGGCTTTATAGGAGTTACTGCTGGTTTACACTGGCCACAGTTAGGGTATGTCTACACTACCCTCCTAGTTCGAACTAGCGGGGGTAATGTAGTCATCCACAGTTGCAAATGAAGCCCGGGATTTGAATTTCCCGGGCTTCATTTGCATCTTGACGGGCGCCGCTATTTTTAAATGTCCACTAGTCCGAGCCCCGTGCCGCGCGGCGACACGCGGCACGGAGTAGCTAGTTCGGATTAGGCTTCTAATCCGTGGAACGAGGTGTACAGCTAGTTCGGATTAGGAAGCCTAATTCGAACTAGCTACTCCATGCCGCGTCTAGCCGCGCGGCACGGGGCTCGAACTAGCCGGCATTTAAAAATGGCGCCGGCCGGCTTCATGCAAATGAAGCCCGGGAAATTCAAATCCCGGGCTTCATTTGCAACTGCGGATGACTACATTACCATGTGTGTAGACATACCCTTAGATCAGGCACTTTCATCCAATTGGGAAATTCAGAACAACAAAATGGATCGCGAACCGAACTTTAACCTGACCGTTAGAAAGGGATCCAGGCCACAGGGTGGGAATTTTGTTCGTTCCCATAGCCGTGGAGAGGTATGAGCTCTCCCCGTCATAATTAGTAGAATGAGGAACCTTCTGATTAATATTAATAGGAAGCTGTTGGGAGGAGATGCCTGAGTCGTCTCGTTTTCCAATTTTGAAGGGTTCCGTTCGGAGGAGAGGAGGGCGGGACAGGTTTGCATTGATCCAGCCCAGCTCAGCCAACCCATGTCAGTGACATGTCTCCCAAACTGGCTCCAACTCTGGTTTTCTGTCTGGGTTTGGTTCCACCCGCCAAAGCTAGAGCCTGCCACAGAACCGTCACACCGGATGTCAGAACCTTCTTCCTTCTGGGGGAGTTCTTCCAGTCCTGCGGGTGGGGGCTGGCTGGGGGCGCTCCCCTGCCTCTTCTAGGAGGTGGAGAGCAGACTTACCCAAAATCCCATTGGTGACTGGTGGAGAATTGCAAACCTCCCTCCATCTCTTCTGATGTCTCCCTGCCACATCTGACCATAGGTACTCCAGCTCCAGGCACCCTTCACAAAGTCACCCCCATTTACTGATGGCCCACCTTGTCATGATCCCCGGCTGCTCCTCCCTGCTGGCTGGTGGATGCTGGGGAGAGAAACTGGCCTCCCTTAAAGCCGCTGGCCAGACGAATGGACTCGATTCTCTCCGTTTGAACTGGCAGAAGTGCTGAATAGCGACTGTCGCGTGTGCTGGGGCAGCCTGACATGCCTGTTTACCAGAGGCGGCTAAGCCGGCTTTAAAAATGGTTCCTCTTTCTTTTAGGGAGAAGCGGGTGCCCCAGGGAAGCCAGGAAAGAGAGGAATCCGGGTAATAATTCTTTCCGGGGTGCACAATGGGTTTCATGGGAGGCACCCTGCGGGCACTGTGTCTCCACGTCCAAGTAGCTACAGAAGGGATCAGTGAGGAGAATGTGCAGTGAGTTCGCTGGTTCTCCGCTTTCGCTTAGGGCTGTCCGTCCAGCCAGGGCTGAACCAAGCCATTGCAGCGCCCCAGGCAGACAGTTTAATTGTGCCCCGGTGGGGGAGGATGCATGCCCCACCCCCATACCAGCGTGTGGGGGAGGGTGCGTGGAGCTGGCGGTGGCAGGACGCACGTGCCCAGCCCAGCCCGGCTACCACTGCTGGCGCGCAGCCTGGGGTGGGCCAAGCCTGGTCATGCAGGACCCCGTGGCCATGGGGGAAGGGGGGTGCTGGCCGGCTGTGCGGGAGTTAACGCGGCGGGCGCGGG